CTGAGATTCGATTGCTTTTCTTTCATTTCTTGGAAGTCACAATTTACAACCTAATTAACTTTTGAAGGTAGGCATTATTGGAGATCGATAGATTGATTGATGAGTAATTCCGGATCAGTCAACTGCTAAGGTTATTTGTCCCGTAAGTGTACTGCGTGCTTTCATCGCGGGAGATTGAATTGAATTTGCCTTATTTTACGTGGCGAGACTCGGGCCGTCAGGCCCGCTCTTCCGTCTGACCACGCAAATTTCGCTACGCTCCTTTCACCAACTAGGAGAGAAAGGAGGTATTTCTTGGGCGAGAAACAGGCGATTTGAATTTAGGTCAGAGGCGTCATTTAGGCTTGAGGATCTTTTACATGCACGTAAATCTACGAACATGGGACAGCCGGCTTTACTTCCCCTCCGAAGGAAGGCGTACGAAGGATTTTTTTCGCCCTTAAAAATCCACGACTTTGATCGGGTTTGAACCCGCCAACTTGGGTACAACAGTCCAGTACGCTAACCGTTACACCATCGCGACGATGGCGGCGATCTTCCCCCGCTGTCTGATGAGATCCGACGCCGACCATCGGCTAGCGGGGATTTTCCACAACTAGGTCTCTCCAACCAGCAAGGCACCGCCCCAGCCGGGAAAAGCTCTAAGTTCCCGACTGATATTTACTAGAGTGATAGTGCAGTGCATGTGAGTGTGTGTGTGTAAATAAAGAGTGAGAGTAGGTCAAGGAAGAGGAAAGAAAGATCGCGCACGGTCCCTGGCCCGTTTTCTAGGGTACTGTTACGACATTCGCATTGGCATTAATAACAGAGAGCTTAGAAAACTACCGAACAGAGCAGCCAGTCGCTAGAATTTTCCAGACAGCCTTGCTAGTGTCGAAAATCCTGTCACCGTCGGGACTAGAACCCAGGACCTCCCGGTCAGAGGAACTGCAGAAACATCAGTTGATGCCCTGAGACCTTTTCTGGTACACTGGAGATAGAAACTAATAGGGAATTTAAGCCCGGCATGGTGTGGAGCAAACGATAGCCATATCGATCTCCTGCGAATGAGTGGATGTTCAGAAGTAATGCGAAACTCGAACTACTCGTGCGTAAAACATTGATTTTGCCTCGATTGGTGTAATTCTTCGCCATGCTTAAACTTCTTAATAAGGATAGCGTGCAGAGCGCGAAAACGTTACATGAAAGAACTCCTTGAATCAATTAAAGCGGGACACAAAACTAGGAAATTCCACAATGATAATTATGTTTGTCATCAGGAGTTTTTCTCTATTGGTCATTTCCTACGCGAGGTCTAGTTTAGTGGTAGGTAGTTTAGAGAAGTTGAATACGATGGGACGTGGGAAATTTTCCTTGAACACAACGTTTTTCGTTCGAAATGTCACCCCAACTAATATCCCTATTAAGAATATCCTGGAATGAGGAAAAATAGTTTCAATCAATTTTTCTGAAGAAATAAAATGAGCTATTGATCACCTCCATAAATGCGTATCGCCTAAAAGCATTGTTTCGAGAACTTTCCTCTATGTTGCGGAGAGGGATTTCTCTGCATCTGATGATGATGACGGACAAGTTGAACGAAAACATAATTGGACAGAAATATAATAAGCTATATTGATGTGTTTGACATGGACTTGTTATATAAATAAGCCATATAAATATAAATAACATCTCATTTGTCTAAATGGTAAATAGGAAGAACTCTAAATGTGAGAAAAAGAACAAACACACGCAGGTTATCGACTTCATTAAATTCACGCAGGTATACGACTTCATTAAATTCATATTCAAAATATTTAAATACATTTATTTGTTCAAATATTTGAGCATTTAGAATTACATTCCCTCTTTTAGGAGCATTAAATGTCATCACTTTCAAGACCATTAAATGTCATCACTTTCGTTTTCTTTTAGGAAATTATCATATCATATTCATTAGCAATCTGGCCTAATTTGCACACTATTTTCTGAGTTTCATTTTCATAATTCCTAAATGAGTATATCGGATTAAAACGAAACAATAAAAAAATACCCTTTCCCGTCAAGGTAATAAAAATAAAGTGTGGTGGTAATAATTTTAAAAAACAAATGAAACGGAAACGAAACTCATCTTCATACACACAATGACGAGACGTAAATTGCGCCTTATCGCCCCGTCTGCAGCATGTCGCAACTTGTGTTTACGGAGTGATTTCCATTTTAGCTCCACTGCCTACTCTCTAAATTTCCTCGAATAGCCCAAATTCCAGTCGACTGGCTTTGTCGTTTTCGGACATCTTCTGCCCCCTGGGAGTAGACGCTGGGTGTGGCTCGTGGATTCCTGACGGGTTTAGGGTCAAACAGGAAACAACTAATCGGCTTGTGAGACAGGGTGGCCGGCGACCTGAGCTAAAAATGGCAGAAGTACCGCGCTTTCTAGTAAGCACCCTGAAACGAGTTCAGTGACCAGTGAGTCACAACCGAGCGGGAACAACGGCTGCGAACCGCCGAGGATATTTCAAGAATGCTTGACATCTTCAAACAAACGAAAATAACAATTTGGAAAAATACATATTTCAATTTAAATTTTCACGACTTGAGGACAACTGTTGTTTTATGCTGCCGTCTTTTATTGCGCATTTTTCAAGTGTAATGGACAGACTATACGCCTTACAATAAACAGAAATCAGAGATGCTACGATCATAATGAGATAAAAGGAAGAAGTAACGTATAAGTTTAGTACGTAGTAAAAAACGTTACTTTATTTAGTACGTAAAAAGTGTAACTTCAATGCGACAAGCTATCGTGAATGTCCTTTCTTCAATGAACAATTTTCACCATATTCGAGAAAAGGTTTATGAACGATCATTTGGTAGTTCATGGCCAAGATCAAATTTTTTTGTATAGAATACTCAAGTTGTATAGAATACAAGTTATCACCCACTAACCATCACTTTTCCAAAAACAAAAAATATTACTTAATTATTTATTGTACTTAATAGGTTCAAATATAGAGGAGGGTCCGAAAAATTGCCAGTCATCCGAGAATGGATATTTGGAAAATGTTAGCGCTAATAATTTATTTTGTTTCAATAAAACACTGCAGAAAATATTGTAGCAGCAATCCATAACTTTAAAGATTTTTTTATGTACCAAGACTGAAGTGAACTGTTGTTTCATATGCGTTCCGAGTTCCTACGCTTAATGTTAGTTTCTGTGGCGTTGCTTACATATTTTATGTTCATTCACCTCCAACTGCTTATTAGCTTCATGAAAATATTCAATTATTGATTTTAGAAATTACAATAAGGCGGAGGTAAGTATCATTGTTTAGATTAGGCTTGAAACTCGAGTCGTCAGTGCAACAATTGATGTCGATGATTAATTAGGTTTGGTTTTTATTTCTTTTGGCGTTTGATGTCCTAATGTTTGTGTTCGGGTCTTTGTAGGTCTAGGCCGATAAAAAAGTTAATATAATAGCCAAAAATGCTGAGAACAATATTAGTTTTGTTCATTATTATTTTCGCAAATTTCAAATACTATAAGTCTTTTGAATTGTCTCAATTGGAATTAATATTTTTTTCGACGTTCAGTTTTGTCACTAATTTACCACTTCCATTTACAAAACTCTTTATTTCTCACCACCTCTTGTCCACATCTTAAAAACACACACATTGTATTGCTGACTATTAGAATGAGCAAAACATGTGACTAATACGATTGGCTAATTAATTTTAATATATTGGAATACGTTGTTTGCAGATAATTGAAGAAATCAATTAATATTTTAAAAAATGAATCATATTTATTTAAAACAATAAACCACATGCATGTTTTATGTTCAGATTGCTCACATTGTCAACTATGAGTCTCATTGGTAAATAATATTTAATAAAAAATGCCATAAAAACAATAAGAAAGAAAAAAATATTGAAGAGTGACGCAAGAATATGCTAATTTAAGAAAGGTGTAAACGAATTAAACGGAGCAAGATGTTGACCTCTGCATGTCAGAGTAATGCATATGCAATAATGAATTATGCATATCTGTTTAATGTACATGCAAAAATGCATTAAGGTATAAATGCAATTTGTCGGAGAGTTCTCCTCGACGAACATTTAGACCCGGTGTTATGAACGAATCACACGGAGCAAGATGATGACCTGTACGTGTCGGTGTAATGTATATGCCATAACGCATTATTGCATAACGTAAAGTTGTCGCAGAGTCCTCTTCGGCGATCATTTAGGCGGTGTTTGGCGGAGAGAGGGCAACTTCATCCCACCCACTTCCAGTAGCCCTGGCTCGCAGGTTGTAGTCCCGTCTGTCGGGGCCGCAGGCCTCCCGCAAGGTGGACCGCCACCTTGCACCGAGCCACCTGACTCGCGACCCGCGCGGCTGCCTGTCTGCCTACCGCGCCACGCCTGCCGCGCCGCGCCGCGGCGAGCCCGTGTCTGCGGGCGGCGCACTTCCTCGATGGGAGGCGGCGGCGCCGGCGCCGGCTGAGCTCGCGGGCATTCCACCTCCCCTCCCCGCCACCCCTTGCGCCGCTGCCCCCTCCCTCGCCGCGCCGCACGGCCTCCCCCCTCCCTCTCCGTCGGAGGCCGTCGGAGCACATCTGTTCCCGGCGCCGCCGCCGCGCCGGCCGCCAGCCGCCGCGCCTCCCCCTCCGCCGCTCCGCGACCCCTGCGCCGCGCGCGCCGAGCTGCCCTCCCCTTCCGTCCCGCTGGCTCCCCCTCCCCTCGCCCGCGCCGGCGCCGGCCGGGCGGCGCCGCAGACACCAGGCACGTGCGGCGGCCGCGGCGCGGCGCGGCGCAGCCCCCGCCCGCCTCCGCCGCCGCCGCGCCGCCAACTGCCTGCAGCCGCCGTCGCAGCAGCAGACAAGCCGCCCCCACGAACAGCCAGCAGCACCGTCGCCTGCGCCCGCGAGGAGCTCCTTCGGCTGGCAGCGTGCGCCTTGGGCTGGCGCGCCGCAGAAACAAGTGACGGCGCCCAACGACCTGCGCGCGCCGCCGCTCGCCGAGGTATCTCGATGCTGCGCTGTTCCCTGGCGCGATGCGGCGTTGTTTTGACGAGTGACAGTCGCTTGGATTGTTGTGACAGTTGACCGATGTGGCCGTGTGAAGTCGGCGATTAGTCTGCGAAACTGTGTTGTTTGTTGATGGTGCTGAATGATATTATAGTCGTGGAGAACAATGTGTGGCAACCTGCTGTTGAAGATTATTAGATATTATTATTGCATCAATATGCAATATATTGTGTGCGAATAAGTTGTGACAGCAGTGTGCAAGATTCTGTTTTCTCAATTATGATATTAATTTCTTGATATTAAATACGAACATCGTACTGTCCAAAGTGTATGTGAATGCATTGCTGGGTTGACACGCCATATTTTGTGTAAATATTATCGAGACAATCGAAACATTTTATAATACTCAAGAAACCATGTGGGATTGTTTATACGTTTACCGTACTGTTTCTTAGTACATACTATCGAAGTTCCGAACTAGTGGAAGTGGTTGCCTCTATTGAAGATCTTCCAGTAGTTACGGGGATACCCATGTGGCCTGTGGTGACAGAAGACACGGTGGAAGACCGTGGTTCGATTACCGGCAAAGGTGAGTTATTATTCTCAAGTAGTTAGAAGCAATTCCGCGATAATGCTAACAACAGTGTTAGAGGTTGATCTTTCTGTCCCCAAAATACCTTTCAAAGCTCGCAATACAAAACCCAAGAAATCCGCCTGATGTTCTCAAGTTGTGATCTGGATCCTAATATTAGAAATAGACAATAGATGTTAATTTAGCTTTATTAAGTGTTTATTAATTATAACAATGACAAGCAAATGTCAATTTTGAACTTATACTACTTGGTTGACTTTATTTTCTTGGTGATTTTCATGAGAAAAAAGTAAACAATTCATTTTTAATTGCAACGTATGAATAGACATTTTATATATGATCTTTCATGTGTAAGCATATTTGACGAATTAAAATATATTATTTACAATTTTGATCTAAGTCAGAAAGCATATTATGCTTTTGCAAGCCTAAAATCGTACAGTCTTTCCTCGTCCAAAACTTTGAACTTTTGCTTATGAGAACAATATAGGTATGTAAAATGTATTCATGTTCTAAACCTTAAATAAATTAATTGTTGATATAATATAATTTAATTTCGCGGTATAAACGATTTAGGTATATATTAAGTAAGTTTTTCACGGGATTGTTATAAAGAAACGTACAAGGATATAAAACAATAACAAATTTAATTCGATGAATTTGAATACATTTTCTTACATTGACGCCCTTCACTAATCTCTATGCCATCATTCTAAATTCGTCAGAAAGTTCAAAACAACTGCAGATAAACTTAATTAAATGTAATGTTCATCTTTCTATTGTGGTATTTATAATATTTGACTTGAAAGTTACATTCGCACCATCACATAAATTAATACTTTTTAATCAAGTGTTTAGGAAAGATTTTAAAACAAGTTTTGATGTGACACGGGTGTTCATGAATCTATATTTACTTTTCGTCGGTGTTTCATTAAAATTAGCAAGATATATTCCAATCTGTGAACGTTGAAAACAATTGGTACTGTGTACGTAAAGGTTTTTTTCGTTTTCTCCATCAGTCGAATCCCGCGTATTGAAATCTATCTCCTGCAATCCTCTCCAAGCGTTCAGGTTTTTTCGGTTGCTTTGGTTTCCTTATCGTACATTCTAATCCCAAAGTATTACTGTCATTATCATTATATACAAAGGAATCGAGGAATCTGATTATCTAATAGGATTCCATTAGAGAAATTCACAATTAGGATTTACGGAAAACTAATAGCTGTCCAACATCTAGAGAGAACAAATAATTTATGTTGGGAATTACAATGTGAGAAAATATAGGAATTTTATCAGGATTTACGAAAGGGTAGGATTCATCCCACCCCTAATTCAAATGAGTGATAAAATTTCCCACAGCTTTTGTTTCCTTTTTGTACAAGAGTAGTCGTATCAATGCCATCATTACATACAAAAGAGTTATTATCATGCTAACTGGATTCGACTCGACAAAATTTTGAATTAGGATTTACGGAAAGCTATTATTTGGTCAACATTTGATTCAGGTGGACGAATTCATTTCCCGTGAGGATTCGATTACAAAAAAATTGGATTCGGATTAGGGTTTACGATAGTTCGTCCCACCTCTAATTCTAACGGGTGAAAATTCTGAATGAGGATTTTCGAGAAACTGTGATTTATCCAACTTCTAATTCTAGAGAATGAAATGATTCCTCTAGGGGATGCGATAGTGAGAGAATTTTCGATTCGGATTGGGAAAAGTGTAGGATTCGTCCCACCTCTAATTCTAATAACGACAAATTCTCATTGAGGATTTTGGAAAAACTGATTTATCCACCTTCTAATTCTAGTGAATGTAGTAAATGAAATGATTTCTCCAGGGATTAGATTGTGATAGAATTTTGTATTCGGATTGGGATTTACGAAAACGCAGGGGTCGGCCCCACCTCTAATCCTAATGGGTGAAATAATTCCGCGTCCCTCCGCAGCGAACAGAACCCAGACGCGGCGCCTCGCCGCTGCCGCATCTGTGCACGCGGGGAGGCCCTAAGCCTATCGATGCGGCGGCGGTTTCGCCATCTGTTGGAGGCGTAATCTTCTTGACGCGCGGGCACGGCACCCGCGCAGCGGCAGGGTACCGCGATGCGCGATTGTCCGCGGCAACTGTCGTGAATGTCGCGGTAATTTTTCATACGCCGCCGCCACCGCCGCGTTACGATGCAGAAACAGTTGAACGTGCGGAACGTGACGTGGCAGCTGTGCTGTACGAGCAGAGGGCGCGGTGTGGCCGTTTTCACGTCCTCCTCCGTTCTCGCGTTGCACTTTTTCGCTTGGGGATGATGGGAGAGATGTGGTGCTGGCAGGCGTGTCGTAATTTTGCGATAGCTCCCGTAATTCTCTTTACCCCTTTGGCGAACTTCTTGCCGCAAAGTACTCGTACGTTAAACCCATTTACTCGCCAGGAACATCCGCGTGATTTTACTCTTCGAATTACTTTAAAATTTGAGTTCATGACGTAAAAAATAACAACAGAAAATTGAGAAATTTTTAAGTTCCAACGCAATCCTAATAGAAACGATTAAAAAAATGTTTTGACTAGTAAAAAACAGTAGTGATGCCGATAATGCCATTGCGGAAATGAGAGACATTATGAAAGATCAATAAATTACGCCAGAAATTCATTTTAGAAAACAATAAACTTTCTTTGATGTTCATAATTATTATTTTCCAAATATAAGGCGTGAAAGAATAACTGTGGAGCTCAGGCTCTCTTCCCGACGCTTGCTAATTAGTGCCAAGTCCGTTGTGGTGTGGTTAGTTTTCATACTTTCCAATGCCTTTCGTCTTGCTTTAAAAGTCACAGACAAGTAAAAACAAAAAAAAATTATTTTTTCGATCTGTTCCTGAAGGTTTCCGAAACTTTCACAATTTGCTTTTGATGGTTTGAGCAATAGAAAGAAGTAAAAGTTTGAAGGATTTTGGATTTTGGGATTCAGAAAGAAGGGATTCAGAAAACTTTCAAGGAACTGGATTCTATAGTTGACCCTTGTCAGAGCCAAGGCAAATTTGATTATTTATCAGAAGAATATTTTTTTTTAATTCAGTGAAGTATTAACTATTAAATAACTTTACCGTCAGTTGTAATTACGCTTTTTGGAGTTTCCGATGATGATTGCACACCATCTGTGATTCCTTTGTAAAATTTTTCGCTTCGTTGTTTTGTACACGAAATGGTCGTTTACTTCAATGACATTCGCATTTGTAATTTTCTATTATGACTTTCATTTTATTCTTTTCCCTTCATTGGAAATGCATGTTTCTAGAAATGTGGTGTCCCGTGCTGCAGAGAATGTTGAATTCAGAAGCTATGAGTCTGTCACAGTCATCCAAGCACATTTTGAAAAGTTGGAAGGAAGGAGAATATTGTATCCCTAATACTTCTAACATATGCAATTTTGTAAGTGTCCGAAAGAACGTAACGTGAAATATTTAACTCTATTAGAGATGCCATTTTTGTGTGATAATAGGAGATTTATTCCACAAATAGTTTGTGAGCAGTACTGTATTTCAAAATTTCAATCGGAAGCAACGAGTCAAACTGATTAACCCCAAATATTTCTGCTTATGCGCACATGAGACTCATTAAATGTTCTCAAAGTTCTGTAAAAGCTTTGGGTTAAGGCATGTTCTAATCACTGAATGCTTTGACATCTACCGCTGTAAGTGCATGCTGTTCGCTACCGCAATTCGCGAGTCGGTAATGGACACAAAGAAAAATTAGTTTGTAAATTTAGCACTTTTACGGAAATGTCAATGAGAACGTCACATATGAAGTAATTGATATTTGACGGCATGGACGGGACTCGAAGAGACAATTTTCTTACGTTGAATTTCACCAGACGTTTATGTACGCACGAAGTTCGTGTTTCTATGTAATAATTTCAATGAGAGAAAAATTGAACTTGAAATGCATTTTATACAGCTTTCTTTGTATTACAATTTCTCTAAATCTCTTGTTCCTGAAGTTGTTTCAGGGTTTGAAGGAATGTTCCTTCGATGGAAGGTTCTTGACCCGGAGTTTCTTGTGAAGAATAATTTATTAGAGCATTTATCACCTAATATTTTCGTCCATCATCAAATCTTGAACAATTTCGTGACTTGGTACCCTATACAATCTTGGGTGTTATGGGATGCGTATGGAAATATGTAAGGGAAAGGCCAGGAATTCTAAATTATGGCTTTTAGAAATTGAACATTCCCGCTCAATGACCTATAACTGAGTTAACAGTTCATATAATAGTTATTTTTTTACTAGAACAACATATTAAGTGAACTAATTTCATATGGATATTCCCCAAAATGCCAAAATCGATGTGCTTTGACACTCTTTCCCATCTCATTGCCATGAAGTTGTGTCACAATTTCGTAAAAAAGCGTCTCGAAAGTTTATGGATAAAGGCGTTCATGTGTTGGATTTTGAATGTTCTCACAGCAAATGTGCATTTGTCGAGCTGCCCCTGAGACAAATTCCGAATATCGCACTGATCGCAGAACTCCCTTCTCGGGCTGATATTCGGTGATAAGTAAAACAGCCAGTCCACCACAGTCAGCTTTCGTATTTCATTCACTAGCGTCTCTTCGTCAAAATACATACGTAAGAGCAAGTGCGAATGAAGTTAAAGAGGTGTGGCGAAAATGACTGGCAGGTTTAGGCGAGTCTGTTCCCTAGGTTTCGGCAGTGCACGCCTTTTTCTGCTTTGCGTTCTTCGTAAGCGACACCAAACGTTGGTTTGGTGAGAATACGTTTTACTCCAAATATTTATTTTACTTCCCTTTTATATTCAATCTTTTGAAGAGTCCATGCATTGTCTGAATAGGAAAAAACTTCCCCCTTTATAAACTTGTGTGTGCACGATTATGCATTGACGCGTTGTTGAAACTACCTCTAGTTTTTGTAGTTGCACTAAATATATAAATTAGATAGCGGGCGCAGAATAAGGGTAAGATATAATATGTTTAGTTCTGATCTTGTTTGAATCAAATTGAGTAGCTAAGTTTACAAAGAAATGCATTCTATTTATACTATATTGATAATATTTATTGATCAGTATACACTTAATTTAATTGATTGACAGGATTTGCTGATACAGAAAGTTTCAGATTTGATATTTTCTTACTTTTGTTCTGAATAAGTTCTTACATTGGTACAGACTAAGTTGTTGAGATTGAACCTTCCAAGGATTTCATTTTTTGTAAACAAAAAAAAGCTATAGACCTCGATTAATCAGAAACTGAAGAAATTTGATCAATATTAATATTTTGCTGAAAACCTCGAGGAGATTGTCGATTTGTGAGAGACTATTAGGTTTAAAAAAGCTGTATATTGAACGAACTGAAGTAATAAAAGAAGCTTCAATGACCCTATGATTAGTGATTTCTCACCTGGAACAACCTTTAATGAAGACTGCATGTTCAATATTTATTCGTCGATAAATTTGCTTAACATTCTAAAAAGTTAACCCAAAAATTGATTGTTTTTTTAACTTCACTCACGACTGTTTTGAGTTCTCTTTGACGTTTCATTAGGAGTAATTTTATTTTCTTTGTCAGATTACTTGTTACATCTAATCCATATATCTATATCACATAAAATGAGATTACAAATTTAATCTCAATTAACTAAGCTTCTAGATAGGTTTCGGACATTTTTTTAAAACTGAAAGGCAACAACCACTACCCACGTTGAGCAATGAAGGTTTTATCAGTTTCGCAGAAACAATTTATCTGAATAAGGAAATCTGAAAAGGCAATAAAACTCATTTATAAATCTTTAATGCAGGTGCCACTATTTGAATGAAGCACTTTCGCACTCCGAATCTTATGCAAAACCTTCAAGTACCTTGATCTTATGTAGCCCTTCGTTGCGTGCTTAACATTTTATTTATTATGTTTTGTTTTGGTTCCCTGAAATGAAAAGTCACAATTCGATCTTGTCTAGCAAGGAAGGAGACAATAATTCTCTTCTTGTACTTCAGTACACGGTAGAATGCAGTACATATCTTAAGTTTCGCGTTTCTAGAACGAGAGGTCTGTTCAATGAAAATTCTAAGCGAGATGACACCACGAAATTAACACTTCTCGGAATCCTTCGGACTCAAAGATATTGTGGGCAATCAAGGAAAAGGCATAGGTCACGACATGAACTTTAATGGAACTGATCCCCTCGACACTATCGTATTTCCCTGGAAAAAAAATTTAAAAAATACCTAAATGTCTTGCTCTCAGAGTTTTTTGCCAAAAGGTTACGAGTTCTTTATGTTGAAAGTAATAATAATGTAAATCATATTGCGTTGACGGCTTGTCGTTTTATTATTTTTTAGGCAATCGATGAAATAAATTTGTTGATGTCAAATTTTCGTTGGTGGCTTTTGGAAATTATTTGTAACCAATCCATGATACGACAGCGACCTTAAGTGGACTGTTTTGTACAGCCAACTGTGAAGTCATTGATTTAATTCACTCATGAGATTTAGAATAGGGCAATTGAAGTCACCGAACGCCACAAAAACCCTCGGCACACCAACCTTCACAGCCCGGCAAAACCTCCTCCTTTTCAGTAGCTCCTGCGCTCTTTCGCTTTTGCGTTTAGATTGCTTCTCACGTACGAAACTGAAAACTCTTCAATTTACTGATTTGTAATGTTTACACGTCTGTCCTCAACACTGTGTGTGGTCCTTTCAAATACTGAGAGGAACACCAAAATGGGAAGCCTCAGGTGATCTCAGAAGCCGCAACCTGCTGCTGATGATTCGCAAAACCCTACCGATTCCGCGTTATTTAGGGGCGAGAGTGAGACAGGAAGTGTTTCCTAAGTGGTTGGATTAAACCAAGGTGAAGGAGCTAAAGATTCAGCGGCATCTGTAGGGTACGGGGGTGCCATGGGAAAGCATCGCCGATTCCCAAGGGAGACCCGACAGTTCCACACGGCAGCAAAAAGCTCGTCAGCACAGAGAGATTTGTGTCCCGCCCAGTGACGTTTATATTATCTGCACTGCGTAATCGAATTCGACCACTTGCAACATGTCCTCCCCCTCAGTGCTGATGCATATCATGCGGGGAGTGAATTCGCTGCAGGGAAATCACCAAAACACACCCTTCTCCTTGCGTGAAGCATGCCGCACTGATATTTCTTAAGTTACATTAGTCAATATCTTATGTTTTTGGTGTGTTACAGGGATAAAAATGGGATAATCTGTCCGTTGTTGAAAAAACAAACAAATTAGACACATATCATGCGGTGATATGCCGCCCATCGGAGCGCTCTTGTGTCACTTTTCTTCTGATGATGACCCTTCCCCGACACTCACTGATTCGTGACACAATAGAAGTTGAGAATAGAATCTTGTGGTACATGAAGGTTATTCAATAAATTGAAAACTGTGTTATTTTATTTTCGCTATTTGTGAGTTCGATAAACCATCGTTACATTTGAAGTTGGGTCTATATAGAGAACTTAATATACATAGATACAAAAGCGTCACAACTATAAGTAATACAGATTTTTGTGAATTTAGTAGACAACAAAACCGGCACTTGTAAAAAATGGTTTTTTTTAAGGCTTAGTCTCGAAATAGACTATAATCATTGCTTGCTGGCTCTTAAGAAATTTGGAAAATAGAATTGGTGACAATTGTGAGATAATTTTTTAAAATATTATCGTTATTTCACTGTAATGTACCCCCAAAAATAAAAATTCAGTTTCAAATTCGCAGAGTAAAGAGTGCGGCCAGACCGATAGGCGAATATGCATTTGGAAGATTCCCAGCGAACGAGACGTTAGTGTTGTCGATAGGCGGACCGGGGCAGACGCACACACTGTTAGACGAGACGGACTGAAGGAAATATTGACTGACTGAAGACGGACGAACGGGTGGACAGACTAATGTACGGACGGTCTTACGTACGTAGAGACGGACGGTTTTACAGACGGAGAAACGGACGGTCTTCGAACCGTGAGGCGGACTGGCGGACGGTCTGACGGACGGTCGGACTGGCGAACTGACAGACAGACGAACGGGCTGGCTGACTTGCAAACTGACGGACGCGCTGACTGAGGTTAATGGGCGAACTGGCGGTCTTACGGACGGACGGACTGACTGACGCATCGACGAACGCTTTTTTATAACAATTTTTTTTGTAGTATTACAATACTTTCTCTCTTCTTCGTTTACGAGAAAGTAAAAAAAAATAGTTCTGTAATTGCTCACTTAAAAGTTGCTCGCAATTTCCCTACAAGCATTACTTCTCGACGTGAGTCACAATGAAGAAAAACGTGTGCGATAATTACGCATGTTTCCATGCGATTCGCGACCTCGGCTGGCGCCACCGGCCCCGCAGGCCCTCGCTTCGCGACGCCGCCGCCGACTCCGGTGATTCACGCAAAATTTATAAACATATATCTATGTATGCACGAAAAAAAAAACAGTTGCAGTATACCAGATCTAATTCTTATCCTTCAAGGTAACTTGTTACAGTATAAACTTGTTACAAAATATTAATTAACAAAATTAAGTAATAAGAAATAACTATCTATCTATCTATCTATCTATCTATCTATCTATCTATCTATCTATCTATCTATCTATCTATCTATATATATATTTCATGTTACTTAATTATGTTAATTAATATTTTATTAAAAAACAGTTTGTGGAGCTTATGCGGTCTAGGGGTGAGGATTTGAACGCCGATCATATGTTTACTTTTCCTTCATTTTGTATCTAAAGAACATGCTGAAAACACCTTCACATTGACATCGCCATATTGCAATAATGTAACATGAACCGGTACTTTATTGGGTATCAAATACGTACAGGAGGTAGAATATCGGTTTGGTCTTACTACCTCGATTATCTGTTCCCTGTTGGCAGTTTTCACGTGTGCACTTGTGGAGCAAAATCGCGATTTGGAAATAATTTCATATAAAAATGAATTAATTAAAAATTTGCCGTTTTTAAGCAAAGAATCCGTTCAGAAAGAGAAAGGCCAAATCTGATCGAGTTTCACATAACGAATAAAGTACTGTGGCTCAAACATTTTTTAGAAAACTACGAAAATGTTCTTAACTGTTACCCATCCTTTTACTGGTGCTTCTACCGTAAATATGACTTCGTCGGCGAACTCGGCTGGCGCCAAAATAGCTGCACGCCACCGCGTCCCAGCGTCGCAGACTTTGAAAACTCTCGCGACGCGGCAAAAGTAATAAAAAAAATCAACAAATTGAAGGTAGCCATTTTGAGGAAAGGGATCTATTCAGAAAGAGGTTTACTAATTGCCCTCTGCTTCCACGTAATTATTGTTTGCTTTCGGGCATCTCAACTGCTGTTGTCATTACGCCCGTTAGTGTAGTGTATGCCCGAAAGGTGGCGGTGTTACTTCTCCATTGGATGGAAGCTCCAAAATCTCCCCCCAGCGGGGCACCGTCCAGGTCGCGACAATCTCTAAGCTCCCGACACGTCGGGTTGTGTATTACATGTCACGGTGTGCGTGAAGGAAGAGAGAAATTGAGAAAGAAAGAAAGGAGAAAGGAAGGAAGGAAGAAAAGAAAGAAAGAAAGAAAGAAAGAAAGAAAGAAAAAAAGAAAACGGACGGTGCATAGTACTTTTCCTAGGGTGAAACCACGTGAAACTGCCGATCACAACAGCCGACCGCTAGAATTCTCCTCCAGACAATCGCTGAACTCCACTTCGCCCTCTGGCTAGGTCGAATGCCTTCCACAGTAGGGACTCAATCCCTATGACTTACCGGTCAGAGTAATTCCTCATTCCCTAAATTCTGTAGCCCCAGCGCCTTGCGAAAATACGAAAAAGCTCTGAACGATGCCGATCACAGTTACGTATGTATTTTCTCAAGCCGCTCGAGCTGCACCTCTGCTGCGTTTACGCTGCGAATCTCTCGGCGCACGGGCGCGGCGACCTCGGGAAGGCGCCACCGGCCCCGCAGGCCTCGGCGCCGCGACGCCGAGCCGCCGCCGCCGTCTTCGGTGACTCACGCGGCGCGCGCTTGCACGCAGGGCGTCGGCGGCAGGTGGACACGCCTCGCTTGCGCCACCGGCGCGCGCCGTCCGCTGCCGGCTGCGGCCGTCGCAACGCGACGCCCGCCGACGGGCGCCGCGGACCTACGCGGTGGTTAAGCCACACACGGGTTTTCTCACACACAGGCGCGGATCCACGGGGAGGGAAATGAGGGAAATCCCTTCCCTCTACAATTATTCAGTAACTACAGTCGACTTCGGTTATAGCGAACTTATGGGACTAACAGTTTGGTTCGCTATATCCGATATTCACTATATCCGATAATCTGAAAATTAAATAGACTTTCTCCATAACTATTATTTTATTAATATAGAGTTACAGCGACTTTTTCGATTATGACTTTTGGCTGATGATTGTTTTTAAGCTGCCTAGTATTGGAATTTGTGGCGTTAAGGCGATGTTTTCTTTTCTAGGAGGAATTTCATTTCCAGAACGTTGACACTTTAGCCGAGGTTCACGTCCACTATAACCGAATCTTCTTAACCTTATTTGTAATGTAAGTGAAACGGGACCAGTTCACTATAAGCGAAGGTTCATTATATCCGAACTCACTATAGTCGGAGTCGACTGTATTCATTTGAACGTAATACGAAATTTTCGAGCGAAAATATTTTCGGATAGTCATTAAAACGAATAAAATGGTATCTCAGAATGTGCTGAATGTAGCTTTTGTGGACTTTTTGTAAAATCTGTAATATGACACATTCGACCAAATATTTTGAATTTCCCCTCCCAAAATTTGTCTCTGGATCCGTCCCTGTGAAACACGTTGTGAAATTGGGACCAATGTTTAAGTGCGATTAATTAATATTTGCGGGCCCGTCAATTACTATGTTCATCAATTCCGTTGGTGTAGTAAATGTTTTAAGTCGGGAGGTGGCGGTGTTTCTCTCCGCTGGATGATGTGATCTAGCGCTGAGCTAGAATTCGGCTTGTGCATGATTTCCTTCTCCAAGTATCTCCCCTAGTAAGGCACTGCTTCAGTAAGGGCAAGCTTTAAGCTCCCGTCTAATAGTGGTGTACTGCGTATGATTGCGTATGAGTTTGCGCGCGTGTGTGTAAGGGAGAAGGTAGGAGAAATATTTTATGCTAAAGAAACACATGCTTTTTTACAATTCTGTAGAAAATAAGAAAGAAAATATTGTTGTAAAGAAGTCCTGAACTATGCTATAGCCAGTGTACGTAAGTGTACATAAAGCAAAAGTATACTTTGTGCGTTAAAGCCGATTTTAAGTATAAACAGCCGTTGGAGCAAGTAGTCTATCATTATTATATTTCTTAGTTAATGCGAATATGGAAGTGAAAGCTCTTGCTTGCGCAACGGACAGTTTTTTGGCGGTGCCCTGGGAGCTGTCTCAGGGCAATCGTGACTGGTTTCGAAGATTTCCTCCCACGGTTCGTCATAATGACTGCCGCTCCTGAGCGCCAGTCGTTGTGGTACGGTCGACCTAAGACCTACGCAAATGCGAGACTCGCTTAACTTCGTTTCGGTGCGTTGACTTACGCGAAAGAGGTCAGTTCTCCCTCTGGGTTTGGATGGACATATGAAGAGAATTTCTGAGAGTCGTAGTTGCAGATGGTTCTGGAGTAAATAACAAATTTTCACTGTTGATCTTTATCGTACTTCAAGAATGTCGGAGTATTTCCCTGGACATATAACAACCGTTTTATTTATGACATTTAAAAACAACATAGTTCTTTGCGATCGTACACTGATAAAAAAGAACCGTTGGAGTACACCAGATCCATGATACTGTAACAAGTTTACTTGTTACAGTATCATGGATCTGGTATACTCCAACGGTTCTTTTTTCGGGGTAAAGATGGAAATATATCCGTCTTAAAAATTTCTAGTTTTTCGATAACGATTCTGTAATATTTTCTTCGACACCACGATCCAGTAGTTTCTAGACCTACACTATGGTTTTGGATAACGAAAACATGCGCTCTGCAAGTGTGGAAGGTGTCGCAGCGTCGCTGGGTGAGTCGTCAGGCATCTCGTGAACCGTTGGCGACCGTTCCCGCCCGCGCCACGTGCCTGGGGCGGCGCGGCGCGGCATGTGGCGGGGCGGGGCGGGGCGTCGGCGGCGACTGCCAGCGGCGGGATTCGCAACTGGACACTCCCGCCTCCTCCCCGCCGCGCACTCGGCCGCGCTCATTCATCGCGACCGCCCTGCCTGCCCGCGGTCCAGCATGCTAGCCCCTCCGCCGGCTACTGCGACCGCTCTCCAACATGCCCGCCGCCCACCCTCCCGGTCGCCCAGCCCGTCTGTCGACCATCCCGTCCGACATCCACCCTGCCCGTCATCCACTATGCTCACCATCCATCCTGCCCGCCAACTACCCTTCCTGCCTTTCATCCTGCCCACCAACTACCCTGCCCACTATCCACCTGTTCCGCCATCTACCCTGTGCGCCAACCGTCCTGCCCGCAATCCACTCTATCCTCCATCCCCTTTTCCACCATCTACCCTGCCCGCCATCCACCTTACCCGCTATCTGCCCTGCCCCCATCTACCCTGCCCGCCATCCACTTACCCGCTATCTGCCTGCCGCCCATCTACCCTGCCCGTCATCTACCCTGCCCGCCATCCGCCTTACCCGCTATCTGCCCTGCCCCCATCTACCCTGCCCGCATTCACCTGCTTGCCATGCAGCCCGCCCCTCTTACAGATCGTCTGACCAGAAACTGAGCTAGTCACCTTGCCGTCGCAGTCGCCCGACGTTCAGCCCAGCCGCCTTCAAGTCTCGCTCGCGCCTCTATCCACCGTCGTCGATTCTGCCTGCTCTCCAGCAAGTCCGCTAAACAGCCTGTCCGCCGCCTGCCCGCCCGCTCTCCAATGGGCCCGCCACGCAGCCCGTATGCTGTCTACCGTACCCGCAGTCTACCCCGCCCGCTCTCTATCGCGCCCGCCGTCCAACTCGTACGCCGTCCACCCCTCTCGCTGTCCACCACGCCAGCCGTCGACCATTCCCGCCGTCCACCCCTATCCCAGACCGGACACGTATCTTCCCCACCCGCCGTTCAGCTTGCCCTTCCGCTGTCCACTTAGCCTACGGCAACGAGGACGGCGGCGGCGGCGGCTGCAGCTCAGCTTTCCGTCGCGACGCCTCCAGCCTCTGCTCCGCCCCACTCGGGCGTCGAAGCGACGGCCCCGCCGGGTTAATTGCTGCGTGGCGCCGCACTTGTCGCTTGCGGGGACGCCCCGCCCCGCCCCGCGGCGTTCCATTCTCGCCCCGCGCCGCTGGCTCCGGGCCTACTCCGTCTGCGCCACCGTTCGCGCTGTTCTACCGATCACCCCTCCATTAATGTTCCGCTCTACCCGCCCGTACTCTACCTGCGGATGGCAATTCATTAGATTTGATGCGATATTTAGTGACGATTTATCGATATTATCGAAACGGTTGCACCGATGCGTGCCTTCAAATATACGGGCGGCGGGAAAAATCAAAGCCTTGAACACGGGAAGGGTCAGGGTGCAACGGTCTTCTTGAAAATTTAGCCGCTTAGCTTTATGTAATAATTTTCTTTGTCTTAAATGCGTGAACTTTCCGATAACAATGACCCATACCCAGAATGTATAGATCATTTTTCATATTTACAATGATGACAAACGGATGGTCACATTAGTCTGTTATATTGCCTTATTGCCGAGCGATGAAAAAGTTAAAAAATATCGTAGTTTTACTTAGTGGTAATTTCTGTATAACATAAACCTTGATTTTTTATGTAGTCAACGTGTTACCTCGCTTTTTTCATTAACTAAAATTAATTCAATTCCTAAAATTAATTTTTAACGAAGGAACAAACGTGAAGAATTTGATAATCTACTCTAAAGTATGTAAAAATTCAAAAATCAGCAGAAATCTTCGAAAAATGTTGAAACATATTCGAAGCTATCCCGAAAAAATGCGGCGGAATCAGAGACACTCCCTTATATAACTGCAAAAGACTACATTTCCAAAATTGTCTTAAAATTGTTAAACGAATAAAATATAAAATGTAGTTTTTAATAATCAAACAAAATGGATAAAGAGCCCTCTGAAATTGAAGGAGTCAGTCGAAAAATGAGCTATCACACATAGATGTAGTTCGGAGATCATGAGGGTTTTACCATAATTTCTCTCATTCAACTCAATACACTGGATTTAAATAACACATTCCACTAAAAGAATAAAATTTGGAGTTGCACGTAATGCTAATAAGTCAATTTCACGAAAACAATATGCGATAGCCCCCCTATTCTTCTGAGCATTTCAATAATGCTGCCCTCTCTTCTCGTTTAAGGCCCCGCACGCGTGTGTGGACAATTGTTATAGGGTGTCAGGGGGAGGGGTGGGGTGGTGTGTGGAGGCGTCGGTCACTCGTGGCGGAGGCGCCACGAGGCGCCGCTTTCTCTTTCGTCAGGCGGCGCTCGCGCGGGAAAGTCCACTGGGCGCAAGAATTCCTCCTCGGCCGGGATGCGCCCCCCCGCGCCATCGGGCAGGTCCTTGCCTACGTAAAACATCAAGGGTTACGTTGAATGGTAATTATCACAAAGTAAAACTTCGATATTTTCTAAAATTTTTTATCGCTCTGCAATAATGCAATATAACAGCAGACCATCCGTTTGAAATCATTGTAAATTTGGAAATGTATCTATCCATTCTGTTGATAGGTCATTTTTATCGGAAAGTTCACGCATTTAAGACAATAAAATATTACATTTAAGACAAAGAAAATTATTACATAAAGCTAAGCGGTTAAATTTTCAAGTCGGCCGTTGTCCCCTGACCCTTCCTGTGCGCATGGCTCTGATTTTTCCCGCCTCCCGTGTATTTGAAGGCAGGCATCGCTGCATCCGTTTCGATAATATCGATAAGTCGTCACTAAGTATCGCATCAAATCTAATGAAGCGCCATCCGTAGGTAGAGTAGGAGCGAGTAGAGCGGAGCTGGGATTGAACGGGCGCGCAAACGCAACCGCGCATGCGCGGACGCAAGAAGCACATGCCGCTTTTCTTGGACAGAAATACTTCGTGGATGGAGACCGTAAGCTTCCGCGGCAGGCGGCAATATTTAATTGGCTGTCCGGGTGACGCCGCGTCCATGGCAAAGGTGCCGACGTTTCGGTCGCCATTTTGCGTCTTCCTCAGGTCGTATACGTAAAAGTAAATGGATTGGTCATTACGTCCTTCGAAGCGCTGCAACGTGTGTGGGTCGTTATTCCCGTAAGTGTAGTGCTTGTTTTTATCACGCGAGATGGCGTTGTTTAATCCGTAGGGGGATGGAGAGATCAGGCGCTGACCGCTTGTCAGCGACTACCTGGGGATTGCCGGTTTTCTCCCATCTTGGCATGCTCCACCAGAAGGGCACCGCCCCGGTCGAACAAGCTCTAAGCTCTGGGCATATGTGGAATGTAGAGTATGATACTGGTGGTGTGTGTTAGTAAGGATTAGGAAGAACAAGGAAGAAGTAAGGAAAGATCCAGCGTGGTCCGTTGCCCGTTTGATAGGGTTGTGCTCCGGTATTGGCCTGAATCTGACAAGAGAAACCAGGGAAAACTACCGATCAGAGCAGCTGCGTTAGAATTCTCCTCTAGACAGGCGGCTGAATTCGACCTAACTGTGAAGCTCCAGTGCGAAATCCTGGCCAGCGTCTGGGTTCGAATACCTTGTTACATCGCGGTCAGAGGCACTGAAAGGTACATCAGTTTATGTGCTAAGGCGCGGTCAGCGAGTTGAACCAAGGCGACATCGACGCATCGCCCTCCATCTGAACAGCGACGCACCCTGAGTGTCCGTTCTCTGACAATACTCCTTCGGTCCTCCGCCATCGCTGGCGCACAGCGCGTTTCCGTCGTTTTTCACCGCTGGGGCGTCATGGTCTCTGTCATGTCGCCCCCTCTCGGTTAACCGCAACCCTTCTTTCCGGCCCCTGCTCCTCCCCCGCTCGCGGGAGGGTGATCAAAAACGTCAGGTGGTGGGCGGGGGCGGGGGCGAAGAAACGAGGCGGGAGAGGCGCACACTGCGTTCAACCGGCCCGAACACGCGCTTTAAGTGCAAATTTTGATTGTTATTCTTGGCAAATTTGGCGGAGTGATAATTCTGAAGCGTCACTTTAAATAAAGTGTGTAATACTTGTAGTATTTTATGCAACTAGTTTATAGTAATACGGCGTAGGGATGAATGTGCCAAATACACGTACGCCTTTAACCCATGGCCGCGAAGCCGGGACGTCGATGGTAGGCCATGGCCCGTACACAGGCCGACGTGCCAAATAAAAAAAATGAAAGAAAAATTTATAATATTAACCTTTATTGCATGAGAAGAGCGCAAGTTTTGAAAACGAGCGTCGTTAGCAGCGAGTTTTCAAGTGTGTACCAATGAAATAAAACTATTCACTAGGCTGTCCTGGTGACGCCGCGTCCATGGCGAAGGTGG